ACGACAAAATCAGTGAGAAGAAGATGTTAACTCCAATAGAGGTACTTGTTATGATCATCAGAGTGTCTTAGTTATATGACACCATCATCACCTTTTGTAAATTACGAGAGCATCTGTCGTGACACCTCCAGCCATCCTTGTGTCGTATTATCTTGTGGAGCTATGATGGAAATTCTTCACTGCAAGCAATGAGGCAATTAACACATGATTCAATTTTATTGTAACAGGTGTTATGCAAATCCTATCCATCCGAATTTATATCATACTTCCACTATTGCCGATCATTACGGTTTGAAGATAAACCTGACTATTCATATTTGAAGAGGCTTTTCAGAGACTTGTTTATCCGTGAAGGTAAATAATACTACTGCACTTTTCTTTTACAAATTTGTGTCCAACGGTTGTCTATTTGTAACTACTCGATTCTTGTCTTTATTTGATATGTATTCTAGTCTCTTTACCTTAATCTTTGACATTGCGTCAGGTTATCAATTTGACTATGTGTTTGATTGGACCATTTTGAAGTATCCTCAGATCGGTGCCAGTTCTAGAGGACGAGTTAGTGCTTGTCAAACTTTCCTTTTAATTATTACTTTTCACTCTTCTCGCATATTATGAACGATAGTCATGCATTCTCTTGCTACCAGGCTCCTGGTGGAAGTGCCGGACTAAACACTGGGCCATCTGCTGAAAGACCAGGAAGGACAGGTATCATATTCGAACGAAGTAGTAAATGGCAACATTGCTACTGACAATTTATTGTCAATTAAGTTTGACATGTTTTGCTTCTGTAATCCAGTTGGACAAGATATTCGAGAGAGGTTTTCTGGTGCTGTTGAAGCATTTTCGAGAAGGAATGCTTCGGGTACAGGAAGGCATGGGGAACATTCCAGACACAAGACTTCAGAGGATATGACTTCATCTAAAGATGTGGTATTTGATCATTCCCTCTTTTCAATTGTATTTTGGAGTTGGTGCTGTTTTTTTAGTTGCCTTATTTGTTCTTGCTTAATTTAGTAACTAGTCGATCTGTGTATTTTAAAAAAAGAAGTAATGACTAGCGAATGTGTGAATCATTAGTTTAGTGCTTCTTATTTATTCCTGTGTGCAATAGCTCTTAGTCTTCCAAAATAGTACTAGTAGAATAACTATGCCCCAATCCTGAACATAAACTTTTCATGGAAGAGAAATTGAATTTAGTAACTAAGAGTTACATATAATTTTCCTTTATGGTATGAACATCTCGAACCCTAGTAGCCAGGGCAAAGCTCCATGTATTGAAGGGGGTTCAACTGAAGCCCGCTGCCCCCCATTCCC